GCTGCCCGGAGCCCACGGCCATTCTGTCCTCCAGCCACGGAGACCCTCTTCCTGCTCCCAAACAGCCGAGGCCTCTGCCTGATGCCGTACGATTCTCCCCCAGATGCCTTCACCTGTCTTTGTGGCAAAAGCCTACTTTTCGCTTTCTCTTTTTCTAAACTCTCAATGGGAACCATTCCAAACACACAACAGCAGAGAGAATTGCACGGCGTAAGCACGGCCTTCACCCACATTCACGGGCAGCAGGTTTTCTCCTGGTCCCCACTCAGCACGACGGGCACGGGGCAGGGAGCTGACAGCAGGGACACCGGCCGACGAGAAGGCCGCAAAACGCCCCCATGCCACTGTCACATCCAACAGGGTCACGTGACTCTTTCCTGCTTGTCTTTGAAAACTGGCTTCAAGTGCCCCCGACAGTGGCTGCATCTGCAGGACCCTGTCACCCTGTTGTCCACTGACAGGACCTGGCGGGTCTTCTGACATCCACCTGCTGTCACGTAGCGTCCCTCGTCAGAACCGTCCCTCTTCCTGCCTGACGCCTGCAGTGGCTCAGCACGAGCGATCTGAGAAATGAAAGTGAGAGCCCCTCCCAACGCTGCTTACACGGTGCGGCTTAGAGACGCTTCCTAAAATCAAGCTCCTTCACCAAGAAGAAAGTCCAACCCGTTTGCAAATACTTTCAAAGTACCGTACAGGCCCCGCACACAGGTAACTCGCCATCAAAACGGACTCAAAATGGAAAGGATAACCTTTTGTCTAAAAAAACACAAGTGCTTGAGAGAACATGTCGTGTTAAAGAAACCACAGTGAGGGCTCAGAGTGGCCCTTTCTCAAGTGACATATATCAGATGGGAAGTCCTGTGTGGCCTGAGGGAGAGCAGACTTTGTCCTGGGTGCTCAGAAGCCATCAGCAGTTTAATGCAAATGAGTGTCGAGGCTGGATGTGCTTTTGTGAGGAGCCCGAGGACGGGTGCAGTTGCCAGGGAAGGCCCACCTTCCTAGCCAGAAGCGTGGGGCCAGGACACAGCCCGAGGCGCCCACAGTGAAGGGAAGGCAGAGCCAGCAGTGGCGGGGTCCAAGCAGCTGTCCCCAAAAGGAGGGAGCTCCCACAGACCGTCCCTTCAGGGTGACCAGAGCACAGAGGGTGCGTGAATGGGACTGCACAGGGCTTTCCAGGCACTCGGACCGCAGCGGCTTCAGTGGTGACAGGGGGATGGCAGCCACACTTGGGAGCTAAAAACATGCGAGCGACAGCAGGCGGAGGCCACCGTAAGGCAGCCCGCAGGCTATGTGACCTGCTGTAAAGAGGGCGCGGGGCACGGTGGCCATGGGACACGGTGCAATCTCACCAGAGGGATTTTTCTAATAACTGAGCCCCAACATGTTGAGGACCATCCAGAGGGAGGAATGGAAAAGGCGGCTGGGGACCAAAGGTGGCAACCAGACGAGGCAAAGTGGGGGCAGGTCCACCCCCTGCGGCCACACGGCCAGGGGCACCTGTCACAGGGCTGACACAGCCCCGCACCGAGCACTTGTCACAGGGCTCACACAGCTCCACACCGAGCACTTGTCACAGGGCTGACACAGCCCCGCACTGGGCACCTGTCACAGGGATGACACGGCCACACACAGGGTACTTGTCACAGCTGACATGAGGGGTGAAAGGGAGCCCTGGACAGGATTCTGAGCACATGCACGGGTGAACACCTGCAGGGGGTGAGCCCTGCTGGGAGTGGGGACGTCCCTGCCGGGTGATACAGGGGAGGCCGACTGCAGGTGTGTGGAAGGGACTCTGGGTTCTGTCCCCATGTCCCCCTGGGGGTAGCAGCCAGGACATCAGCTCAAAAGGGGGAGAGAGCCGGAGCTCTGAGACTGAGAGGGGTGAGGCTGGAAAACCCGGCCCCACAGATTAATAATAAACAGCTTCCCTCCCCAAAGCAGTTAGCTTGTGTTAACCCGTCTCCACTTTAGGTTTTCGAGCTGTTGTTTCAGGAAAGCAGCTCTTCACCAATGACCAGAGAGTGTGACGCTGTTGGAACGAATTCGCCAGAAAGTCCTGTTTCCCATCTCAGTGTCCAGACAGGCCCTGCACAGTTTATTCCTCGAGGATGACCGAGGCCCTCATTAATATGCAAAAAGCAGGAATCGCACCTGGAGGGAAGCAGCGCTCACCTGGTTATGGAAGCCTGTGAGGTCCCGCAACATAAGGACAGAGTCCATCATTTCTTCCTGAGCAGGGGAAACGGCAGGGGAGGGGACGGATGTCAGCTTGTTGAGTTAGAGCGCGGGGCTCAGCTTGTGCCCAAGGACAGCAGATCCCCCCAGTTTCTGAGCTGAGACCAAGGGACACTGACATTCCTCACAGAGACATCGCCCGGTCCCAAGTGTCTCCTGCCCGTGCAGCGTCTCTCCCGGGGCCCCCACTGGCCACCCCACCCCCACCACTCCACCACCCCGTCAGGAAACTGACAGCAGGGGACAGGAGCTGGGATGATGCTGAAGGAACTTTGTAAAAGGGTGAGAGAACCATGGAGAAAGAAAAAATATTAGTCCAAATGCAAACATCATAATGACCACGAAATAGGTGTCTTGTTCGATGTGGCTGTTCTCCAGTGACAGGCCCAGGACAGGGGTGGCAGACCTGCTGTGGGCCGGGACAGTAGCCCCGGGGTATGTGGCCCCTGCTGTGGAAGGGGCAGAGTCACAAACCTAACTCCGGTGTATCGTTACCAAGATAAAATGCGATTGGGTTTACGGAATTTTCACCCACAGAAACACGGGCAGAATTAGCTGCGGTGACGAGTGGCTTTTATCTCTTTAGTAACCCAGCGGCAGGTCTGTGACATGCACGAGCAGATGCGAGGCCACAGCCACGCGTCAGCCTCCCCAAGGGGTCCACCCGATCTCATTCCTTGACTGTTTCGTGCTTGACCGTTTGCCAGTGAGCCAACCAGTCTTCATTCCTATTTGCAGACACTGACCTCACCCCCCTCTGGGCCATACCTGGTCGTGGAAAGCCAGTCCGCAGACTGAAGAAATGAGTGCATCCTGTATTCGTGACCACTGGCCACAGGAGGGACTTCCGTCCTCCTTAGCCCAACGATGCAGGACCCTGGTGATCACGGAGATGTAGTTCCTCATTTCTGTGTAACTCCCCATCAGCTGGAGGGTAGACAGGTGTTTCAGGCTGGAATTATACCTGAAGGAAATACAAGAGTCACCATGGTTGTTGCAACACGCGGCAAAACGTTTCAGCCTGCTCACCCAGAGCAGGTGGTATTGGTTACAGAAACGCTTCTTGGGTGGATAAGGGCAGAAAGAGCAAGGCTCAGGGGAGGGTTGGTCTGCGCAGAGGACGCCCTAGAAAGACAGTGAGGAGCAGGTAGCATCAGCATTCTCTAAAAGCCCGTTGTCACAGCTGAGGAGGCACAAGATGCCACGCAGCATGACACAGAGACACACAGACGAGGGGGAGCAGTGCCGAGCTGGGCAGAGAAACGCGACGGTGACAGCGGGCTGATGGGCTGATAGGCGGGGATGGTGGGTGGCACTCAAAATCGGCAATGAAGTGGGCGCCCACACTGGACGTGCAGGACACACCACCACCAAGCAGGGTTTGTCCAGGAATAAGGTGGCTCAAGGATGAAAATCGGTCGCTGTGAGACACCCTATTAATAGGCGGAGGGACAAGCCCACGTGACCATCTCAACAGGCCTAGTAGAAGCGCTGACACAGCCCAACTCCCGTTCGTGATAAAACACCCAAAACCCAGGACTACGAGGGAACGCCTTCAGCCCCATAAAGGCCATCTGCAGAGAGCCTAACGTTAATTACACTAAGTGGGAAGGGCTGCGTTTTCCCACCTGGGGACTTCCACGTGTGGCACTTCTCCTCAGCCCTCAGCTGAAGTTCTCACCAGGACAATCAAGCGAGAAAAAGAAATAAAAGGTATCCAGGTTGGAAAGGAAGAAGTGAAACCCTACTCACAGATGACGTGACCTTATACACAGAAACCCCCAGCTGCACGGAAAGGCAGCTGGAGCTAGTAAGTGGGCTCCCCGAGGTTGCAGGACACAGGTCAGTGTGTGAACATCAGTGGTTATCTACACGTGAACACTAAAAACCCCCAAATTAGGAAAACAATCCCATTTACAATAGCATTAAAAAGAATAAAATACTTATGATTAGTTTAACAAAAACGTTTACCACTTATACACTGAAAACTGTGAAATATTGCTGAAAGAAATTAAAGATCTAAATAAATGGAAAAACTGTGTTCGTGGATCACAAGGCTTCATATGTTAGGATGGTAATATTCCCTAAGTGACCTACACGTTCAGGGCAAGCCCAGGGGGCTTTTTTTCTAGAAATTGACAAAACACTAACCAGAAGGTCCAGAATAACCAAAACAATCTTGAAAAACAAGACCAACGTCAGTGGATTCATGCTTCCCAATTTCAAACTTACGACAACGCCACAGTACTTTAGACAGTGTGGTACCAGGATAGACACACGGCTTAATGAATAGTACCGAGTCCAGAAATAAACACTGACACTTACGGTCCCTTGCTTTTTGACAAAGGGACAACAATTCAGCGGGGAAAGAACAATCTTTTCAACCTACGGTGCTGGGACCCCTGACACACGGAAGAGCAAACCAGCCTGACCTCACAGCACACGGAAGTGAACTCAGAGTGGCTCAGAGAGCGGCGTGTAGGAGCAAACACCGGAGCCTCTTAGAACAGGAATAAACCTTCGTGACCTTGGGTTAGGACGGTGATAACGTCTTAGATGCACTAAGAGCACAAGCAATAAAGAGAAGGATACGTGGGACTTCATCAAAATTAACAACTTTGGCACACGAAAGAGAAAACACAACCCACCGGCTGGGGGAACATGTGCAAGTCACGCACCTGACGAGGACAGCACCCAGGTGGGTGACGACTTGCACAACTTAATCCCCGAGGACAAAACCACCAACTTAAAACAAAGCCTGTGAACAGACATTCCTGAGCTGCACGGAAGACACTCGTTAGTCATTAGGAAAGCAAAGCAGATCTGGTGAGCGGCCGGAGGGCGGGTGACAGTGTGGTGAGGACGCGGGGAGGCTGGAGCCCTGGGCACCATGCAGCCTCGTGGGAAACCGTCTGGCTGGTCCTCCAGACGCTAAGCACAGGCTGCCACGGACCTGCAGCCCCTCCTGGGGGGGGGGGTACCGAGAGAAGACACGTCCACATCCACATTCAGAACAGCAAAGGGTGCCGCGAGGCCACTGAGCAATGACGGGTAAGCAGTGTGGCGCATGCAGAGTGCAGTTCTGTTCAGGGACCAAAGGGCCGAACTCTGACACGGCTGCAGCAGGATGACCCTCCCAACACGAAGTGAACGAAGCCGTCACAGGAGAGCGCGGGGCACCGCCTGTCGGCTGGGACGCCCGGAGCGCGCACTCCAGGCAGGAGGGCCCATCAGTGGCTGCGGGGCTGCAGGGACCAAGCTGGTGGCGGGGCGAGGGACGCGACCGCCCACGAGAACCAGGTCTGGGGGAATGAAGACAACACCCTCAAACTAGACCGACCACTCTGTAGGTGGCGAAGCCCAAAGAACTGCACCCTTCACATGGGGGAGCTCTGTGGCCTGTAAGTGACACTTCAGTGCAACTGTTGACAGAAAGGAGCCGGCTTCACAGCCTGGGAACCCTGCGCAGACCTCGCGGGTCTGAGTGAAGCCGCCCTGCTCGACCACTGTGCACCCTGGGAGTCAGCTGCCGGCTGGGGGAACACAGGGAGCCCGGGCGGCCCTGGGCTGCTTACTCACATGTCCTCGCCGGGGCAGCGGTTCCCATGGAAACGTGGCAGCACAGTCACGGCCACAGCACACGGCGGCACCTGGGAGCCTCTACCGTCTGTGATCTCAGTGGACACCAGCACTGGACGGGAAGGGACAGGGCAGAGGTCAGCCTGGGCAGTGGCTGCGGAGTGCTGGGAGGCTGCACACGACAGCCGAGGCCCTGGCCCCGGTCCTTTCACGCGGACATGTGCCCGGTCCTGCGCGCTGCGGGTCCCTGCAGGCGTGGGAACTGCCAGGGCTGACTGTACGTCCCGCTCAGACCCAGCTCTCAGGACGGGTTGCAGGTCCCACACCAAGAAGCGGGGTGAGCGTCCACTTGGAGGGAAATTTCCAGAAGGCAGAGGGCAGGTGTGGTTTCAGCTTTGAACCTACACAGGTGGGCTGTGGAAACCACCCCCACGCCCCGAGCTCGCTGTGGCAGAGCAGGCGTGCCGCCCTGGAGAGCGGGGCGTCCTAGGGTACGAGGGGTCTAACTGAGGTCAAGGAGGCTTAGCCGGGCCTGAAGGGGAGGTGAGATCTGAATAAATTGGTGCGTGGACCAGTCCAGACTTCAGGCTAAAATAATCTCAGCTGCCCACGTCAAGGAAACTTTTAGACCAGAGACTCTAGCTTTACTTCCATGTCAGAATTATCCAGAAGTTGAAAAAAACACCTTCTTGGACCCAGAGACGCTCATTTCACTGGTCTGGGTCTTGCACACCCAGCGAAGCGCTTTCCTGACTGTGCGTCTCTAACATGCTCGCTCGGTGGAGGCAGTTTCCAGGGGCTGGTGAGACTGGCAGGACCTCAGGGTCAGGGTAGGGAGCTGAGGGCACCAGCGCCCACCCAGCGTCCCTTCCCCACACTCCCCTCTCGGTGGGGACGTCACAAGGCAGGGCCCACCAGGGACCACACGTTATCAGTAAATAAGGGATGACTTGGTCTCCAATATTCACATACGTGAAACGTTCTTTGGCATTTTATCATGCACATGGCATTTGTTATAATTTCAGAGATGAAAAGTTAATTTACGTCTGTTACTAAGGCTCCTTCCACGCTGACGAGGCAGCAGTCAGCCAAACTAAACGGCACTGAACTTACTACGATGAACAAGAACTGTACCTTCTAGGTACACAGTTTCCCCATTTTCCGGGGAAAGGGGTTTAGAAGCACAAGCAAGCACGGCCCGTGACCCGCGTCCCCTCGGTGACTCACCCTGGTAACCGTCCGCGGGCTCCCCGGCTGGCAGCGCAAAGTAATACTGGGCGTCTGTCCCATGGTACAAAGTGTGTTTCAGGGTGCTTCCCGTCTGGTAACTAAATTCATAACGGAAGTCCTACAATCCGTCCATGGAGACCAAAACAGTAGTGCAGGTCAACAAGCAGAGTTACACCCCAGCCGATACCCACACCCTCCGTCCCAGCCCGGCTCGATTGCAGACAGGCCCTGGCAGGTGGTAAGTGACTGCCTTTTCCACGGAGCCTGGAGGGCTGCCCTGTCCCCTGGGCGTGCGCTCCCTGCCTGGGACCTCCCCACAGTCACAGACACAGACCTCGGGGCCTCCTCGGGGTGAAGGGGACAGGGCTGCACCTCTGGTTCCCACTGGAGCCACCACAGACAGGAGGTGGGACAGGGACACTCGTGGGAAATGCTCTTGGCCTCAGGGCGGGCGTTGGAGCTGGGCCTTCAATGAGGGCCAGGGTCCCAGTGGGTTTCCCAGAGGAGCGCCCTGGGCAGGACGTGGGACAGGAACAGGAGGGGTGTCGGCCCCGAGGGGACAGGCGCAGGGCCATCGCACTCCCGCCGCCAGGCCCCAGGAGTCAGCCCGCAGCCGCCTCTGTCCTTCAGGACAGACGTGGGCGCCCAGCCGTACCTGTGCCCCCGACGTGCAGAAGACGCTGAAGGTGGTGTGCGCCTCGAGGCCGTGGTGGGGCTGCACCTGGCAGGCCATGCCCCGGGGAGCTGGGTTCGTGGTCAGGTACAGCTGAGCCTTCCCCAGAAAGCTGTGATTCGAAGCTGCAGAGAAGACGACAGTGGGGTCACACCCACGGCGATGGGCTCGCAGCACCAGCCATGTGCTCTCAGGTGTGGTCCCCAGACCAGCAGCACGGGCACCCCGGGGAACTTGCTCGATCTGTGATTCCTGGGTCCGCCCCAGACCCGCAGGACCAGAGCGTGGCAGGGGCAGCAGTCTGTGTTGGCGTGCCCGCCAGGGGCTCTGATAAGCACTGGGGGCGGGGACCACATGTGACACTGGTCACTGGCTCCTCACCCTGCAGGGAGGTCGGGAGAGGAGAAAAACCAGGTCCATCCCCCCAGGGGGGGCCAGACAGCAATGCCGCCAGCAGCCGCGCACGTCCAGGGGAGCCTGCAGAGCACGGCCCCCGCAAACCGACCTCCCCGCTGCCTGCGCGCTCTGAAAGCCTCGTCCATAAACACATGTAGGCGCAGCTTAGCTGGGTTTGTAGCACTGATGTGATGTGAAGTTGGCTTTTATGAGCTTGTTAATATCGCCAACACTTTCCTTGTTGCAGCAGAGTGTTCAGAATCAGTGTCGTAAACAGACACTGTCTAATACACAAAGCTACCATCCCCAACGATCAAACACTTCGTTTCTCACCTTCTGCCGTTACGAATCACCCCAATAATGATATTCTCCTATATCACTTTTTTTTTTTTTACTTTGACGTCTTTTTCTTGAGATAAATTACAGGCGTGATACACACACATTAATGTGTTTAAACCTTGGATGTGCGGACCCTCCTGGGAGGCACGGCTGAGTCCCTGCTCTGGCCTGGAGGCTGTGTACTAGAGCCTGTCCCCACGTTAGCTTGTTCAGTCGTCACGCCAACCACGGAAGACAGATCCTACAGCAGAAGTCAGATCAGGGGGCCGGGGGGCAGGGAACTCCTCCCAGCAGAAGGCGCACTGAGCGTCCTGGGATGTCACTCGTGCTGGCTCAGGAAAGGCGTTCGGGGGTAACGAGCCCCCGAGACAACCACAGGGGGAGACAGGGCCACAGACGGGCGGGGGTGACAGGACAGCCCGGGGCAGCGCTGGGCTGTCCTCCGTTCCCCCAGTACCGACGGTGACCCATCTGAGAGAGTGGACGTCCTGTCGTCCCTTGGACAAATCTCAGAGGAGAGAGAGAGAGAGAGAGAGAGAGAGAGAGAGAGAGAGAGAGAGAGAGAGAGGGATATCTAGCCAAAGGGCTGAAGGTGCCCGTGGAAACCGGGACCCAAGGTTTAGCGCAAGGGGCAGGAGGACGTTTACAAGGATGTCAGCAAAACCGTGAGAATCAGGACGATGCCTGGAGACCTGGCTGGGCCCAGCACCAGGTTTCAGACAGAAGCCAACCTCATGTGTTTCGCTTGAGTGACAGGAGGGTCCATGCGGACCCAGGACTGGAAATGGGCTCCGGGCTTCAATGAGCCAAACGTGCACATCCGACCGGCCCATCAGTGTACACACGGTGCAGCCCTGTGCGAGTTACGTGTAACTCAAAGCCCCAGAAATGGGCAAAGTGCCTAGAAACTGCCCACAAGGAAGACGTCAGGCTGCATCAAGGAAACGCCCGAGGGAACGTGGCCTGTGCAAAGGGCAGCCCACGGGCACGCTGACACGGCACCGACTGCACAGACGACGGGAACGCACAGCGCCGCTGCCTCCAGACACGTGGAAACTGTCTACCAGCGTGCAGGGGAGCAGTCTAGCTATGCAGTTGTCCGGGACAAAGGAAATACACGTGTGGCTGATAAAGGCGGCTGTCGCAGCCTGTACCCCGATCAGAACACCACCTGATCACCTCCTCCCGACCGCTGACACGGGCAGCGATGGCAGGAAAGCAGGGGAGGGTCAGGACATGCCATCCGGACAAGAGCCTGGGGACTCACAGGTGACTGCGATCCCAGGAAAACGCTCAGCACCCAAGTCCCCACCGTCCCCCTGAGCAGGCGGCGGCTGTGTCACCTACCCACAGACGCTTGCAGGACATATGTCTCTCCAGGGCTCAGCGAGTATGGCTTGATTGTCACTGTCTGTCCCGTGATCCCTGCGGAAAAGGAGGGGCCACAGGGGCGCAACCATCAGGGACTCAGGAGGACAGCAGGTTGGACAAACCCCTTCTGCACAGGTGCCACCTCCGTCCCGCGGTGACAGTAAAACAGGTGAAGTCAGCCCTTCTTGTCCCGACCTGGAAACGCTATTACCTGTTGGCTTCCCCCTTGTCACCGAGCTCAAAGCTCCCTGCCAGGCTCCCCTGCCCAACAGAAGCAAAACCAAGTCCAGGCCAGTGACCTGGTCAGAAAGGCCACTGGTCGCCCAGGCAATGTGGGAAGACCTTTGTTTATATAGTAGGTTTAGTAGGTTCATCAGTGTAGTGTGTCCTCCAAGTAGGATGGAGGTGCTTCAGAGCAACACCTGGGTGTGACTATTGACCCCTGGGGACTGTGGCTTCCTCAGCAGACAGGCTGACCCTGAACTGCTTACCGTGAAACAGGAGAGACCCAAAGGGCACAATGGCTGAGCTGGACCAGGACGGCTCCCCAGCACCGGGTCACAGTGTGAGACGTGGGTCTCCGAGAAGGGGACAACAGCATGTGACCACGAGCTGGGTGGGAAACCAGCTCCTGCCACGGCTCTTATGGGCAGCAACACTGCGCTCAGGGTGTGGGGTGACAGCCACGCGGTGGAGGCACACAGGACGTGTGCACGGAGGTGCCGGCGCCGTTTTCTCTGCCCTGTGCCCATGCCAGCTAAGCAGCCTCTTCCCTTATTCTGTAAACAGGGCTCCCGGCAGGCCGGCTAGAGCCTCGGCCTGTAGTCCACGGAGGGACAAAGGCACCGTGACCCCAACACTTCACTGTGCAAAGGGGGGCACTCGGCAGAGGCTGAGGGGCCGGTGCCCACACCCTACGAAACAACCGGGATCCCAGGACGGGGGGCGCCCGTACCGGATGCCGTGTAGCCGTGGAAAACTGCTCGGCCCACCAGGGCCTTGGGCCAGTCGACCAGGAGTGTAGGCCTGGCACTAGCTGCGGAGAAGAAGGGGCCCAGCAGGTTGTCCCCGTCACCGTGGTTCCCGTCAGCACCAGCGCTTGGCCCTGATTCTGGAAGGTGGGTGTTGGCCCCTGGGGAGACAAGCCAAGCCCGTGGATGGTTAAAAAAAAGTCATAATGCTCTTCTTACAGGGTTAATGTTGCTGTGCAGGGACCGGAGCCCAAACCAGGGCAATCTCAGTAACTATCTTGACTACGGCGAGACCCACTTGTCTGAAGTCCTCACCCACTAAACGTCCTCAGCACAACGAATGTCACCATCAGACGGCTGGTGGTGCAGCCGCAGATTCCCTCCCCCTCGGTCGCTCTCCCGCCTCCCTTCATTAGTCACCACACATCTTTCTGACCTGCTGAGCCCAGGGGAGACCCAGCGATAGCCCGGAGCGAGCCCTGCCATCAGGTGGGACATCTAAGGTGAGCGAGGTGGAAAACACAGGACACACTACGTAAGCACCGAAAAGCCAGGTCAGGGCCCCGGAAGCAGGAAAGGCAGGGCGTGCACACAGGTGGGACTGGTGGTTGGGGGGGGGTGTCGGGGGCCCGGGAGGGGCTGAGAAGGCGGCTTGAATGAGCTCTGAACAGGCTGATCAGGGACGATCTGGGTGTGACAGAGGGAGTGAAGGGCAGCGGGGAGAGGAGGCGGAGGAACTGGGGACCCTCAGTTCTCACTGTCACCCCGAGTGTGGGGCCATCGGAGGGACAGGGCAGGGGTGTGACTGCCTGGCCTGCGGAGCTGGAGGTGCCACCTCTGTCCGGGCAGTGAGATGACTGGGCAGCGGGGCTGAGGCAGAGACCAAGTCAAGGCTGCTGCCCAGTCCGGCAGGAGAGGAGGCGGGACCTCGCTTAGGGGGGTGCTAACCTGAGTCTCCAAAGAAAGGCCACGGGCACAAGATGGGTTTCCGTCTAGCCGCAGATAAATCGTTCACTGATCGGCACTCATGAGATAAATAAATCCCTCACTGGTCATCCAACTACGCCCTCTCTGGATGAATAAATCCCTCACTGACCATTCATCACCCATCCGTAACACGCTCAGTGCCAACCCGTCACGCAAACTTCCCGTGAAGATCTCAGGGTAGGACAGACAGCCACAGACAGTCCTTTACAGGTGGGAAGAAACACACTGGGCTGCGGGCAGGGGGTCACAAGGCAAGACGGAGGGTGTCCCCAGAGGGGAGACGCAAAGGCGACCAGAAAGGAGGGGAGGGGAGGACAGCTTGGGAAGGGTGCTGAGGGAGGCGTTCCAGCCGACGACACCCAGGGACCAGGGCGTGGGGGGACAGGGGCTGTGGGGCCACCACATGTGGGATGGAAATGAGAGTTCGGGCCAGACCGAGCCCACAGGAGCGTGGACGGGCCCCTTTGCCAACGGGGTGCTCGGTGGCCTTAAGGGGAGGGAGAGGCGTGGGAATCGGATGTCAGCAGAAAGAGTGGGGGTCCCCTGGCCTGAAGGACAGGCAGGGGCTCCGGAAGGTGGAAGCGCTCGCAGACGCCTCACCTGGCTGCCTTCCTGCGGGAGGCATCGCTTCTTGGATTTCGCTGTAATAGGCTTCAAAGTCTGCACGAAAGGACGAAACCAGAACATGTTTAAAAGCAGGCGCCCCTGGAATTCATCCCGAGTCCCAATGGTCACAAACGTCACCCCTGGCCTATTGCTGTGTGGACACAAAATCCCTCAGAGGCCGCGGTCACGCATCACGACCGCAGGGGACAGGTGTCACTGGCCCAGCCACAAAGGCGGCTGGAGTCGCGAGCGGGTGTGCGGCTCACAAACTAGCCGGGTGTCAGTGGGACCAAGGCCTGGCGCTCTCCTCACAGGAGCTTTCACTGTTCTTCCAGGGGACACGCCTCGCTCTTTTCTCACAGGAGAGAAACGGACACGAGGGTTTCCTGCTGCCACTGTCACTTTTCTGTCCCACAGCGCTTCCCTCCCTAACTCTGAGGGACTCAGGCCGTCCTGCCTGCTTCCCTGAGGCTCAGAGCCCTGGGCATGGCAGCCTTTACCGGGCACAGGGCTCCGGGCTCAGGGCTCAGGGCTCAGCGCTCAGCGCATGAACGAGAAGCACTGTCCCCTGAACGCGAGCAGCTGCGTGAAATGGCGTCACGGGCGAGGGACAACGAGGGAGAAGGCAGGTGCTGGGCCACACCGCTTATCCCTGACAATGAACCTCTCTCTCTACTTTTAGGCACAAAAATAGTTTCTGTGCAACCCGAGAACCAACGGTAAAGGCACCGGTGTTCGTACAGGGAAGCTGACACCCCCGTGATGACTGTGCAGCCGCGACTGTGGACGGCGCCCGGGTCACAGAGGACCGAGAGGCTCAGTGCGCGGCCGACAGGAGCACGGGGCGGGGCGAGCTGAGGGCCACGCGCAGTGACTTCACCCCAACCGCCAGCGCAGCGCTTACCAGGGGCCTCAGGGGCCGGGCTGCCCCCCACGGGGCTGGGCCCTGGCCCCGCAGTGTCACCGGCAGTGGGAGCACGGTGCAGGGCGGCTGTGGGCCCCACGGAGGCGCTCGCGGCGGCTGGAAGGTCAGGCCGGCCGGGGGTCTGTGGGTCCCGTGAGGATGGCGTGGGCATGACACGGGGATGCGTCCCGCTTGGCCCCGGGGACAGCGCAGCCGACTGTGACGACCCCAACGCAGCCCCAAGACTAGAGGAGCCGAGCTGCCCCACGGTCCTACAAAAGGGGACTGAAACAAAGGCGTCAGCGTTACAAGTCCGGACAGACAGAACACTTAATTTAAAAAGTGTACAGATTACGTGAGCCTGTTCTGCTCTCACCAAGCCTGCGTCCATTTGTACAATTCGCTTGGGAGACAGGCGGGAAACAGAAGGACGTGTGGACGCGGGACACGGGCTCGCCTGACCATTCCCCCGCCGCTCGCCTACCCAGGCCCCAAACCCTCTGCGCCCCCGACAGGGGGTGTTCACGCACATTCTAGAAATGACCTGGGCTTCTCCTAACCCTTCCTGTCTGTCAGGGCCTGTGCAGCAATTCTACACACTGTGGGCGGGGATTCTGACAGGGGAGCCCCAAAGAACACGTTTGCAAGGACTTAAAAGGTGACGTCGCAGTGAGGTGAGCGTTCAGTTTCCACCACGACAGTCAGGCTCTGTGACAACAGGGCTGAGCTGCGTCAGGGCAGGGACAAGCATTAACTGGGCGCAAAGTGGACCCACTGCCACGTCACTCAAGCCCCTGTGACATGTTGGGGGCAGGCTCCGATTCAGACCAACCCCGCACATCTAAACAACGTGGGAGGGCCACCCCTGCGAAGGCAGGACCGTGGCCTCTCTGTCTTCACGTCCCTTCAGCACTGAGGCCAGCCGGGCACAGGGCCGCACACAGACACTTTCTGCAGCCCCACTGAGTGGAGAGAAACAAAGTCACAGAGCGTCTCCGAGGCTCGGCACAGCTTCTGTCGAAGGCGCCCGTGGGGCCAGCTCAGGAATAAAAGGCCATCCCTCATCACAGCTGTCACCGGGGCCAGCTCCATCTGCCCAGGCTCAACCCCAGGAGCCCAGGCACCTCGGGGCCCCACGCTGTCACAGAGCCCGGCGCGTGTGCACCGGGGACCAGCGCGGCCGGAGGGCTGTGGCCCTGGACAGCGGGTGCCGCCCCCGTCACTTCCAGCAGCTCGCTGCGCCTCTGAACCAGGAGAAGTGCCTCAGCGAAAGCTGGGCCAGCCTCCACTCGGGGCCGGGCCAACAGGGGCCTTTTCTCCGCTGTCACCACACGCGTGGAAGAGCAGGAGGGCTGGGGACGCAGCGGGCTGTGGGAAGGCCAGGCACACTGGTTCAAACACACTATATTTCGCAGATTTTTAGCAATCTCAAAATCACTGTTTCCTGAGCCAACACAGCGAAGCAGCGATCCCCTCTACCTTCCGAGCGGCGCTTTTCCGTGGCGTTGACTAAAAAGAGGTCCCAGGAGTAAGAGTGGCCGGCTGCGCTGCCGCAGGCGTCACACTCGGCGCGGAGGGACAGTTCCTCGTTCCAGTTCACAGACACGTCCCTGAAGCGGACCCAGGAGATGCGGGCGAGCCTGCAACACAGAGTGGGCTGAGGCCTGCGGAAGACGGCCGCCCTTGCTCGCCGTAAGCGCGTGCCAGCCGCCATCCATCGGTCCTGCACTGGTGGCGCAACGGCAGAGTCACAGCTGACGTGACAGCCCCTATGGGGTGGCCCAGCCTTCACCGAGCTCCCCGGAGCGAGACCGCCTCTGACACCGCGGGGTCCCAGGTGGCAAATGCACCGCCACACCCCGCTGAGTCAGGGAGGCCGTGCCACTTCCTCCGGGCCACACAGAGGCAAGATGGGAGCCAGGACTGGGCCCTGAACAGCTTGGCCAGGCTGCCCACACAGGGGTCACCCTGCCCTCTGCTCACCTGGGGGCTCCATTGTCCCCACAGAGTGAGGCCTAAACCCGCTACAAGCCCATTGTCACCTGGACCCCCGCAACGGCATGCACACCCCCCCATTCCCGCAGGACCCAGGGTGCTCACAGGAAAGTGCCCCCCACACACACAGCCCCACGCCCGCACCCCCTAACTCCTTCCCCAGCCTTCCTTGCTGACAGCGCTCTCCAAGGTGCATCTTGTGGACTGTGGTGCTTTAGGACCACACGGGGCCTGGGGCTGCTGCCTTAGGCCTGACTCCGCGGTTTCCTTCCTGGGGAGACGCTGAGTGGGTGTGTGCTGTGGGCGCTGCCCACGCGAAGGCCCCGCTCCCTGCACACGTCTCGTGCGGCTGCCTCCACACACAGCTCCCAACACAGGGGAGCAGGAGGCACAGAGCACAGGCCCACGAGGGCCTCGCCTGGCCCCGGCCCAGCCGAGTGTGTGTGCGCGTGTGTGTGTGTCCGTGCACGGTGTGTGCGCGCGCGGTGGGGTGGCGACAGGGTGGACACGGGCCAGGAGAGGCCCACCCGGCCCTGGACCTCCCAGGACGTTGTCACACGGGCCCCAGTAATTCCCCACAGGACTCACAGGTGTTCATTCAACAACTTTAGTACACGGTGAGTGCATATTTTAAAATAAATTCTGTAATTATCTTGTGAGAAACAGAATTATACAGTACCCTGTATTTTTAGAATGAAAGTGTCTGATTTATTAAATAAAGTATTTAAATTCTGCCCCTGTATCTCTAGCCCTGTACTGGCGGCTCTTTGTGTTTAATATCACCAACATTAGTGAAGCGGACGTGGCCTGAGTCGCCCATGTGGCCTCGCGGACGCCCGGCACAGCGTTCGAGTGACATGCCCACACTTACCTGCTGGGCTACAGTCCACAGCTTCATGCCTGAAACCCGGGATCCCAATCAAGGGGGCCTCTCAGAGCAGCAATTCTGACCCCAATGGCACAACTCACCCCCGATTCCTGAGGACACCCCCTTTCCTGTTCATCCTCCCAGGCGTAGCTAATTTGCTTCCTCCCCCAGGAAGCCTTCCGTAACTCATGCAGCCCACGCTGTTACCACAAGACCATATAGATGCCCAGGCGCCTTGCAGGGTCCAGTGATGGACGCAGCCCTGCCGCCCCAGGCCTTCCAGACGTCCTGCAGAGCTGTGGTCACTGGGCGTCCAGCTCACCCCCAGCCCCCACGGGGGAGGCCAGAGCAGCTTCAGCTCACATCAGCCTGCGTTCAGTGTCTGGGGCTGTGTGTGGCCTTCAGTGCTATTTTGGCCTCTGCACTGTGGGGTTTTGGTTTGTGGTCACAGCAGTGCCGTGTTCCCTCCGCCCTGCCCACTCTGGGCGTCACAGCTGGTGTGTACCTCCCGCGTAGGGCCCACACTGCCCGGTGGCACCTGGAGGCCGAGGGCAGGAGCCCTGAAACGCTTTGCCTCCCTCTGGCCTCGGCCCCAAGCCCTGGAGCCACCCTGTGTCAGGGTAGCTGCTATGACGGGAGGGGTGCCTCCCACTTGGGGCCCCCACTGTCAGCGCAGCAGGGATCCTGTGTACACAGCAGGTTTTTGGGGGGGCTCCCAATACCAGCAGGCAGAGGCACGGAGGAGCAAGGCCCAGGCCCAGCGGGTGGGACAGCAGGACAGGTGGTACCTGAGCGATGCGTCGGGCTGGGTGGACAAGAACACCTGCGCCTCTGAGGAGTTCTGGCCGTTGCTGGACACTGTCAGTGTCACGAGAAACTGGTCGTAGCTGCCGCTGAGAGAGAGCGCTGCGAAGGAGAGGGTGGGGGCCCCAGCGTCCAGGCTGCGTGGAGAGGGCCCCGAGAAGCAGGGGGCTCCAGGACTGCTGGCTGGGGTGCACGTCCAGTAGTACCTGCAGGGGAAGCCACTGGAGGGCTGAACTCACCGGCTCTGGCCAGGCAGGTGACCAGTGTCACTAAGCGGGCTTTCCTGGGCACTACAAGGGAGTGTGCGGACGTGTGCTCCAGGTTACAGGTGTGTGCATGGCGTCCAGGGAGCATGTGTGTCCAAGGCCATTGGCACCGCACGGCGTCCGTGGGGGATCGGTGCTCGAGGTCAGTGGAGTGTGGACAGTGTCCACGTCAGAACACTGGGTCAGGCGCCCAGGGAGGGGTGCAGAAAAGGACCAAGGCCTGAGCCTGGGGGGACCCACCCACTGAATGATGGGAAACACCCGGAAACCCAGCCTCCCACACAGCAAACCACCACACAGACCAAGTGTTTTCATACAAAATAACATGTTTGCTACGGACTGAATGTCTGTGTCCCCCCCAAAAAAATTCCTATGCTGAAATCCTAACCCCCAAAGTGACGGTGTCAGGGGATAGGGCCCTTGGGAGGTGACGAGGTGATGAGGGTGGAGCCCCTACAATGGGACTAGTGCCCTTAGAAACGGGACCCCACAGAGCGCGCTGCCCCCATGTGAGGACGCAGCGGGAAGATGGCGTCTGTGAACCAGGAGCGGCTCTCGCCAGATGCTGACCCTGCCGGCCCCGTGAGCTCGGACTCCCAGCCTCCAGGCCGCGAGGAATAGACGCCTGTCGCTTCCAAGCCCTCAGTCGGTGGTGGTGTGAGCAGCCTGAACGCACCAAGACGCTATTCGAACCTCATGTTCCAGAATATATCATACTTTGAATACCAACATATAAATCCACTCACGTTTTATTTCTACCCCTTTCCTCCCCTTATAGTTCCATCCCAAATGAAATATTAATTCGACTAATAAAAGTTGAGACACTGAAAAGCTTAAGTTATTACGGCAGAATTCTAACACCAGCTCCCCCAGAGGTGACTTTGGGGGCGCGGAGGATGAAGAGTAAGGCCGTGCGAGGAAGAGGGGTCACACGGCCCTCGGAGCTCACCTGAGAGCGGCCCCAGGCCTGTCCGGGTCGTAGGACAGGGACCCCCTGAGCACGACGGTGGACGAGGGGGTCCTGGGGACAAACAGGTGCGTGCCCTCGGAGATCACGCTGACGGGGGCCCTGGCTCGCACCTCCACCCCCACGCAGTGGTTTGTGTACACGATACTGCTTTCCACCTGCACCTACAGCGCGACAACAAGGGGGTGTCACAGGGGGCTGGCAGGGGGCTCGCCGGAGCGGGACACTCGTCTTAAAGTTACAGGGAAACTGGTGGGTCCCAGCGCGTCGTCAGCTCCAACCAGAGGTTGTAGGTGCTGCACAGGAAGCAGTCACCTTTGTCAGGTAAACATCCTACTGGGTGCTCACTGGAGACAAAGTGGCAGGAGTTAATGAGAGCAGGAGCACTTTCCTTCGGGGTCTGCGTGACACAGCTGGGCCTCCTGGGTCCCTGATCAGTGACACCTGTGGGGACCACAGCTGGCCTGCACGGACGCTCCAAGCACGGCCTCCAAACCTGCTGCCACAGGAAGCTGCCCATGGCTGTGGGTTCTGTTTAGCGTTCCTTTGCTTAAGCTCCCTTTGCAACCCCCAAACCCATTATGGACTGAAGGAAATGTAAGGGAAGTTGAAGACAGCCCTTCTCTGCTCCAAGCTCAGGCTCGCAGGTTGCTTGTGAGGGTGGCCGGTAAGCCGCCAGCCCACCTTGGCCAGCACGGTGTAGTTCCCGGGCTCCAGGAAGTAGCTGGGGACAGTGATAGTCCGCCTGCGAGTGCTGACGGCGGGAGGCAGGGGCACCTGCAGCCCTGCAGAGTCCCTGAGGCTCCAGGTATAGGAAAGGCCTCGGGAGATGTCGCAGAGAATGGCCGCTTCGAAGGTCACTGCCAGGGTCACAGGCTGGGACCGCCACACCTGCGGATGAAGAGGCTGTGTCTCATTAAAACTCACACTATGCAAAAAATAACAAAATTTAAAAAGCTCCCACTATGACTAATTCCAGAGTAAATGATTGAAAACTCAACCTAGAACTCCAATTATGTGTTCATATGACCCTGGGATGGGGTTCACAGTGCTGGAGCTTACAGCCCCAAAACAAATACTACATCCATCATGCAGAGAAAAGTAAAGAGCCAAAATATAAAAGCAATGAGAAGAATAAATATTTATGCTTATATACTCATAATGAGTAAAAACCCTTCTAAGCATAAAATTAATGGGAAAATATCAAAGGAAAAGGTTAATAGATTCGATTATTCGATTAAATAAAAATTTAAGCTTCTGAATGTCAAAAATATAAATAATTTGGGCCGGCCGAGTGGCGCGATGGTTAAGAACTGGCTTGGGACGCCAGAGGGCCCCGGTTCGGATCCCACATATGAGGGCCAGTGACACTGCCCTCCACAGCTAAGATGCTGAACAACAGCTCAACCTGGAGCTGGGCAGCCGTGAGTCACCGGCGACGGCAGAGGCTGGAGCCCCTGTGGCAGTGGGTTGCCATGGGCTACCGTGTGTAGCCAGCAGCCAGCGTGAGCGGCCAGCAGCCGCAGTGAGCGGCCGTCCAGAAGCCGGCGACTGATCTGCCTCGCCCGGGAAGAGCACAATGATGGTGCCAACTTGGGCCAGTGAAGCAGCGTCCTCCACAACTAGACTGAAGAACAAAAGGACAGCAACTTGTCTGTTCCCCTTCTCCCAATTCCCCAGCGCTGTTCCCTTCCCCCCAATACCCCAATAAAAAAATCTTTAAAAAAAAATATATATATATATAAATAATTTTAAAAAGCAACCAACGGAGAAAAAGGAAAATCATTTGCAAAACACAGAACAGTTAATATCCCTTAAAATCAACAGGAAATTTTCAAAGCCTCCAAGAGAAAATCGAGCAACGACAGGAATAGGCAAATCCACAACATTGTTACCTCATTGTATGGCTTTGATGATAAAATCAGGTAAATGTTTTATATGTTCAAAGTTTAAATTAAAGCAAAAAGAAAAACCAATTTCTGATCACTGCAAACAAACTGAAACAAAGGAATGTGACCGTCTTTCAGACCAAGTGACAGAAGAAACGTGTGTCTGAAGTGACTTCAATATGCACTATTTTGAGGTTACATTCGGAGGACAAAAACAACTGCAGGGAAATCAGAAAGCTCCCTGAGAAGTTTTATTTCTGGTGGTAATATTGGTACTGTTGCTTTGAAATGATTTTACACATTTATTAGAAAACATGCTAATAAAAGCTTGCAGAGGTGAAGCGGCTGTGAGCTGGGGCAGAGGCCACCAGATGAGCCCAGAGTCCCTCAGCCGGAAACGGGTCACCAGGAGCATTGAAAGATAAGGTCGACAGCTGAGTGACAGGAACGACCGTCAGCGTCGCCCCTCGGGGTGGGGACCTGGGGAGGACCTGCTGCCCTGTGGGAGCAACGCTGCTCCCAAGCCAAGGACTGGCGCAGGGCGCCCCCTGGAGGGTGTTGAGTGCGGCGCCCCCATAAAAGGGAAGGGAAGACGTGGTGTTTTAAAACCTACTGGTATTTGTCATATACGGAATTTTACCTTTGACTTTGTTAAGTGACTTTAGTGACACTTTAAATTACTTTTATTTTTTATTTCTCTACTCTGAATATGATACCATTCTGGCATTTGTCACAAAACTGGCCAGATTTGTAAGTTACCACAAATGCTAACACTGAGATGCCCATTTTCACCCCATTAATAATAACAATCACACAAAAGTATGACATGCTCAGGGGGGGGGTGAGAGCTGGCTCTGAGATGGTGACGCATGCGAGTTCAGTTCCCTTGTGTCCCGGGAGCACTTTGACTCTAAAAAGAAATAAAAACCAACCCTGCTTTCCCTAACCTGGAGCGGGCGCTCAACAAGTAGCTGACCTTTTCTGTTGGTTTTGATATCGCATATATTCAAACATCCCTTTCTCCCAGAAATGCTACAGTTCTCTCTGCACAAGCAATTTTAGAAAGCTTCTCAAAGCAGACTGAGCTGAACGCCAGAGAAACAGAGGTGGATAAAGGGTGGATTCAAAGGCCAGAAACAGGCGTCTCCCTCCCTCCGTCCCCCTCGCGTCCTGGCCAGGACCCCTCACACGGCTCCCTGTGCCAAACGCAGGGAGAAACTGGACAAAGCCTCACTTCGTCCCCAGAGCTCGTGTTCCCAGCGCTGGCTGCCCTGGGGAAGGTGCTGCCACACACCTGGCAAGCGACCCCCGGGTTCTTACCTGCACCGTCCCGGGCCCCGTGTTCTTCACCGGGGGCGGCTGGCAGGGCTCCCGCACGATGAAAAGGTGCGCTTTTAGGGAGGCAGAGCTGATGTTGTTGAAGGCAAGGGCCTCGACCGTGAACTCCCCTTCCCTGGAGGGCGACAGGGCACAGACACAGACTGGCTGACACACGTCAGTCACTCTGTCATTCTCACAGCTGTCCGCCTATGTAAGCACAGTCTCCGACGGCCAGAAGCCGCGAATGAGGAGAGGACACTGGTCGTGACCGACTCCCAGAGGCCGTTTGTCGTCCAGTTAACAGATCCACTGCCCACCAAGCGCAGGGCAGGGCAGGAACCCAACCCCACAGTTGTCACCTGCGACATGAGAAACCACCAACCCCATGGGGACATGTACGTCCCTCCTTGAGAGCCCTCCCAGCAGCCATGGCCTGGCCCCTCTGTCCCCCCTATAAGGGGCACCTTCCCCCGTGACTGAGTATCTGTGAGTAAGACCCCCCCCATTGTGTTTTCTGCCCCAGGGATCAGTTCTCCTGCAAACCCAGGGGCACAGGACAGACCCTGGGGCCTGGAGAGGGGGCCAGTGGGG